CGCGGGCGAGGTTGCGCGCGATGGCGTCGCCGTCGGCGCCGTTGCTGATCGGGATGCCGGTGATGTTGGTACCGCGGGTCGCGCCGGTGAAAGGGTCCAGGCTCGGCGTCGAGTCGGTCGCGCTGACGCTCCACAGGCTCAGCGTGCTGCCGTTGCCGGCCTTCTTGAAGAGGGCCAGGGGCACGTCGTTGCCACTGCTGTCCTTCTGCAGCACGCGCGCGCACTGCACCGTGCCGCCGCCGGTCACACCGATGGCGGGGATGCTGACGTCCAGATAGCGCGCATAGGCGTCGGGCGCGGCGCTGTCCACGCGCCGGGTGCGCACGAGCCGGGCAGTCGCCGTGGCCTGCACTTCCAGGCGGTTGCCGAGCAAGGCCCAGCCCGCGGTGCGCTTCACGGCGACCTGTTCCACGCCGAGGCGGCGCTGCAGGCCCTTGCTGTTCTGGTAAATGAAGTCCACGCGGCAGACCGGGTCGCCGCCACCGAAGCTGCAGCGGCCCAGCGTGCTGGGCAGCAGCTTGCCGCCGTACAGCACCTCGCCGTCGCCGAGCACGCCGTTGAGTCGCAGGCAGATCACCTGGGACGCCTGCGTGGGCCCGGTGAAGGGGGCCGAGTAGGGGTCGATGCTGGAACGCACACTGGCATCCATCAGCGTGGCCAGGCCGCTCTGTGCGCTCTGGCAGGCGGTGTTGTTGGCGGTCGCGAGCACGAGCTTGGCGAACATCGCGTCCAGCGCGGCGAGGTCCAGGCTGGAGGCTGCCGCGTCGAACGCGAGGGTGCCTTGCGTCGAGCCGCTTTCGAGATAGGCCGTGCCCGTGCCCAGGCGCGCGGTCAGCGACACGAAGGACTTGCTGTCGGCGCCCAGGGCCACGCCGACGGTGTCGAGCACGCGGTCGTAGCCGGTGTGCGTGCCGGGCGTGAGCGCGCCGGCGAGCAGATCGAAGTCGCTCGCGAGACCGGCATCGGCGAGCGCCGGAGCGAGGGCTGCGCGAAGCTGGGTCTGGGCGCTGGCGATGCTGGTGTCGGCCACGATCGCGAGGCTGCCGGTCATCAGTGTCTCGGGCGACTGGCCGCTGGCCAGCACGGCGATGGCGCTGCTCATCGGCGTGAGGTGCAGCGTGCCGCCGTTGTTCGTCAGGCCCCAGACGCACATCGGCTTGTCCGCGAGCGTGCCGCAGGCTTCGACGCGGAAGGTGCCCGTGCCCGTCAGCGTGATCGGCCCGTAGGCGCCGGTCGAGGCGGTGACGGGCTTGGCACTGGCGATCGCCTTGCCGGTCGGGTCC